AGTTGTTCCCCGCAGAGTACCGTGTGCTCGCGCAGTTGGCAAATTTTCGGGTTTACCGATATTCAATCGTCTCGCACCTTGATTGGTTGAGAGTCGTTCGCTTCTCACCCAGTTAGGTTCAAGCCGTTTGAATAGGGGCAGCTGTTGCACCCCAAAATTTGACCAACAATTATCTATTCATTGAGTGTTTGAAAATGGATACCTTCATCAGAAAGTTCAAGAGATCCTCAGAGGAAGTGGATTGAAACCAGGGTTGTGTGCTTCATAGCTTGAGAGTTGTGGGTGCTCCTCAGACGATTCTGAGACTTTGAGAATGAACTAGATGTTTTGAGAAAGCCTATGAGATGTCTTGATAGCCATAATGAAGCCCAGAGAGGTCATTATGCAAGAATTCAGAAGATTCAACCATGAATGGTAGAATTAGGGTTTTGACTGGGTCAACCCTAGGATAACTGAAAATTTGGAGAAGGTTGAGACCTAATCCAAGGGCCATGAGATCATGGAATGATGCATAGAGATGTTATAAGGATGATTCCTAGACCAACTCATCATGATTGAGGAGTTTGAGAAGTTTCAAGTCAGGGTTTCCAAGGATTGTCAGTGAAAAAACCCTAATTTGATCCCTATCTTCCAGCAGTTTTAGCTCTAGATGTGATTGATATCTCATCTTCCCCACAACATGAATATTGTAGAGCTTGTTCTTAGATTTAATTTGAGTGGTAGAAGTCCTTGATAGGATTTGTGGAACTCAACTTATGGTTTGAACAAGGCAGGGGTATTTTGGTCATTTGTCAGTTATAGGTCATTTTTAAGCAAATGCCATATCTCCTATTTCCAAGCCTCAAATGGAAAAACTCAAAACATGAAAGTTGTTCAAAATGGCATTTTAAGGCTAGATAAGAGGTCTTGAGAGTTTGGAAATGCATGGAGCATGGATATTTTAAAATGGTCAAAATGAACTAAAAATGGCTTATAAGTTGAAAAAGTTGGAATTGAAAACTGGTTTGGGAGATCTATGAATCCAAAATGGGTCATCCAATATATCATTTTGATTGGAAACATCATTTTAAAAACAATGGTTTAGCCACATTTTTAAGTTTAGGCTTAAAAATTGGAGTTGCTTTGTAAATTTGTTACTTGCACTTTAAGGCATCAAAAGGAAAGATGGAAAAATGCTACATAAAGATTTGTAAGATCTTATTTTCATGTCATAATGTCATATGGGGAGAATTTAAGTGAGATTACATGATGTATCATGAGATTGCATGGGATTCACTCAAGATGACAAATTCAAATTATCATTGCATGAGAAGTTCTAGAAACTTCATGGAAGGTTCTCCAAGGTTCTAGACATTTCTATTCTCATCAATATAAGCCCTAGGGTGGCTCCATGCATTGGTTGGTGATTCTTAGAGTTTGCATACCACAATTCAATTCTTTCACTCCAAAATGCATTTTAATCCCAAACTCCATTGAAACTTCATCAATCACTACAATTCTGATTATCATCATCATCTACAAGCAACATTGAGTATTTGGCAAGAAAGATTGAAGAGAATTCGTGGCTGGCTCATGTATTCCAAGTGATCACTCCAACTTGCATGAAGGGTTGGATAGGTTGATTCAAGAAGTGTAATCAAGAACCATTGCAAACAGAAGCACATAGGTCCATTGAAGATCACTTGTAGCAAGTACCAAGGCTTGGATTGGAGAAGAAACACCATAGCCATCATCACTTGCAAGGTATGCGTTTTCTCTTGAATCTCATTATTTATGCATAGTTAAGGTTTGAGGTTAGGGTAAACATGATAGAGACCAATTAGGGATGAATCTTGGTGAGTATGAGAGCATTCCATGGAAGTTTGTTGTATGGCCGTTTCTGTTTAGGGAGCAAGAACTCATGCCTTAGTGTACTATAATCTTAGTTTTGTAGCTTAGAATAATCACCATGGAGTGTAGACCATTCTAGGTTAGTATCAGCCAAAACCATGATCATGCATAACAGAAGAAGGTAATGGTGTCCAAGACTTCCATCGTGCGTATCTCTTTCTAGAGTGAGTGTCAAGAAAATCCACGACCATGGCCGTGTAGAGGGCAGTGAGAGGATCAATTTTGTTTTTTGGATCGAGTTAAATGGTGGAGAGATGAGAGAGCTATGGAAGATAGAAGATTTGCGCATGGAGGTTGTTCATGAAACCCTAGCTGGCTTGAGGTAGGAGACATAATCCCCACCGTTGATTCGTTTTGGAATATTGGACTTTGTCCCTCAATCTCACGGCCCAGATTCATTCAGAATTGGAGGGAATTTTAAAAGAACCAAAACGCCGTCGTTTTGATTAGTGGGGGCGCCTGGGCTTATCCCGTGTGCTACGCGCACCCCCTCTTTTATCTGGCCCACTTGAAACCAACTAATTTGCCTTTCTATTTGCACCCCTCTCTCTTATCTTTTTATTTTCTTCTTTTTAATTTCTCTCCATATTTCATGCATTTTAGAAAATTCATAATAAAATGAAAATTCAATATTTTTGAATGATTCTTTTTGTATTATTTTCTTTAGGATGTCTAGAAAATTATAAAAAATAAAAATGGCATTTTATTTTTTATTAGATATTTTTCCCACATTTTCCAAATAAATGGTTAGTTTAGGTGTTACATTTGGTACATCATTTTGTTTAATTTTGTTCATGCATTTGTTGATTGATTTTTGGCTCATTATTTTTGGTGTAATTAGATATTGAATCATAGTTCCCCATAGGATTTATTTCTAGATTTTTAGATTAAAATTTGATTAGTTTAATTAGGGTAGCATTAGGGTATCCTAATTAGGGTTTAGGTTGTGCATAGGTGAAAGAATTCATTTTCTTTAGATAGTTTTGTTTGATTTTTGGGGAGGGGCATATGTGGATGTTATGAGTAGAGGTTGTAGACCCTTGTGAATAATTGTTAGATTTTTCCCCCTTGGTTTAGTATTTTTAGGTATTTTCTGAGGTTGCCTATTGATTTTGTCTGTTCTGAGGTTATCTGTTCACCTCTGGGGTTTGTTTTGGGGAATTGGTTGTGGGGCTTGTGTTGTCTTGAAGAGCTTGTTGGAGAGCATGATGGAGAGAAGATTGAGGATCAAGACTCAGAGACCCAGAGCTTGGCTTGTTCCCTGTCTGTGAGGTTTGAGATCCTGAAGTTTGGAGGAAGTTCATGGTACTTTCCTGAGGAAGGCACTATGAATGACTTTCATTCTTTCTTCTCACCTCTTTCTTAAGTATCCAATGATGTTGGAGCCAACTTGTGAGTTTAATTTCTCCTGAGGAGGAATGTAAACTGATCACATGTTGTTGAGCCACATGGGATACAACTCCTAAGTGGAAGCCTCTCAGTACTTTCCTGAGGAAGGTCCTATGGGTCTATTCACTTAGTTCCATTAGTTTATCTAGGATTTCTCAAGTATCCAATGATGTTGGAGCCAACTTGTGAGTTTAATTTCTCCTGAGGAGGAATGTAAACTGATCACAGTTGTTGAGCCACATAGGATACAACTCCTAAGTGGAAGCCTCCTAATACTTTCCTGAGGAAGGTCCTATGGGTCTATTCACTTAGTTCCACTAGTTCAGATAGGATTTCCTAAATATCCAGTGATGTTGGAGCCTGCTTGTGAGTTTAATTCCTCCTGAGGAGGAATGTAAACTGATCACAGTGGTTGAGCCACGTAGGATATGACTCCTGAGTATACACCTCCTAGTGCTTTCCTGAGGAAGACACTATGAGTCTGCTTACTTAGCTCCCTTTCTTTGGTAAGCTTGTTCTGAAGCTTGAAGACTGGGATTGCTTTCTTTTGGTTAGGTTTTGCTTTAGGTCTTTGCTTAGATTTGATTCAGATTCTGTGTTAGGGTTAGGATTAGAGAGTAGATGATTCTTTCTCAAGTGTGGTTTTGTTTGCCTGATGGCACTCCCCTTCTTTTATCTGTTTATTGCTTGATAGCATGTTGTTTATTTTCAGTATGATTACTGTTATTTCATGACTGGCTTGAGGTCGAGACGAGCTTGTGGAGGCTGAAGCCCCACACACATTTCCTCCTTCACTTGCATTGCATGCATTTTACTGTTAAAGCTGATGCTTTTGTCTGTTTTGGTGTATCATTGATATGATCCCTTAGGACTCTCATTTCCTCTGATGAGGATTTGATGATAGACTTTTAGGTTGAAACCTATGCATGACAACATCTAGGAGTTCCCTGTTCAAACCTCAACCATAGGATGAATCCATGGCATGATAACAGTAGGACTTGATAGTCTCCCTCCTAGTTGGGCCTGTTCTCTTCTCATCTCGAAGCAGTTTAAGATACAGTAATCATGAATGATTTCTTTCGTACGTTACGAGCCTTAAGCTATCTGAGATTGGATGTTTAGTATGGTACCCTTTGGGTGACATGTGACGCATTCACTCTCAGGTCATAGTCTCTAGTGCGGTTGAGATCGCAAACACCATAAAAAAACACTTCTTTTAGGAGATAACCCGTAGTTTCCCGAACTACGTTTGCTCTGATCTTTCATACCAGATGAAAGTACGTAGGCATAGGATGCGACGTCCTAGCGAGCAACCTTCACCCGTAGTTAGCCGAACTACGTTGACTCTGATTTCTCATTCTCTGATGAGAATACGTAGGCATAAAGTGCGACGCTTTGCCGAGTCATTTTTCTTTTCTTTTTCAGCCAGCCTTGATAGGTAGATAGATTATAACCAACCCGTCCAAGTAAACAAACAAGCGAGGATCCCGTCGAGTACGACGGACGTGAGGGGTGCTAATACCTTCCCCTTGCGTAACCGACTCCCGAACCCAGACAATGGTTGCGATGACCTTGTCTTACCCTTATTCGTCAGGTTTTTCCGATCGTTTCCTTTCCCGCTCTGAGGGATAAATAACGAAAGGTGGCGACTCTTCTGTCATGCCGACACCTTATTTTCCCGCAAGCGACAATGACCTTTTAACAATGTCAACAATGAACTCCTAAGTGTTGAAAGCATGTGTAACCTGGAATTGTTCAACCAAGGACCATGTTAGCAGCCAATGCCCACTATTGAAAACTTCCTTATCTAACATTTTCTTAGGCATTGGCATAAATCTACGTTGCCACTTATCAAGCTTGGTGGCAAAGGTTGCTAACCTATTCATAAGATATGTTCTAATCCACTCACACATGGTTAAAATAGGCTTGTCACTAGCAACTAAAATAGTGGCATTAAAAGATTCAGATATATTATTCATCAAAACATCACATTTAGGATAAAAACAAAATGCACGCTTACAACAACATTTTGTAGGAACTGCCATTAACCAAGTCCAAGCCTTGGAATTTACCTTCTTCAGTTCATTCATCTTTTGGACCCTTCCTTTAAGTTTCATGTTCTTAACATCATGTTCAATAAATATATCTCCATCAACTTGATTTACACGAGCATAAGCTGCAAAATCGTATGCATCATCATCTTTTCTTATTTGAAGGAAATCAACATCAATTTCTAATATTTTAATCCACAACTTATAAGTACCTTCATTATACCTCCACATATTCACTAACTTGCGAATGGTTTTCGTTGTCCATTTCTCAATGTATTGCCCATATACATTTGTATCAACACCCCTCTGTAAATAATCTTGTTTTGCTTGACCATAATAAATTTACCCCCATGGTGAAAAATAACATTGCAATGTTGCATATCCTAAGAATAAAGGTTTGGATTACATTCAAGTTTTATTTTGTATGCAAGCAAATCTAAATCACCTAGGGTTCAAGTTCGTATAAAATCACGGTTACAGTTCACAATAAGGGTCGAAATCACTAACCTTGGACATGGTAGCTTCAATGTCGTCTCCTTCCTCTTCGTCCGCAACCGAAACCGTCGACCACTGCTCCGTCTGCAATCGCAATTGTCGTCGTCGTCCTCCTTCATCTGAGCTGAATTTGGTAGTTTTTGGGAATGGTAACCCTAACTATTACAGGGGGGATACATAGATATTTAAATTGTGAAATATTAAACCCAAATTAAAAGAATAATGTCATGGTGTCACACTGGATAGGTTCCACGTTGGCAAGTTAAGGGAATTTTGGGTGAAATGTGGCAATCAGGGGTATAAGCGACGAGATCTGGGTATTACAAGGAGGTATTAAAAAAAATCTTTTACATGGGGAAAAACTGAATCTCGCTAACTTTGCAGGGGGTGTTGTGTATTTAACCCATCTTTTAATTACTTCAACATTATTAGTACATTTGTCGATAAGTTATCAAGTTTTTGGCGCTGTTGCGGAGGGCTGTTGATAATTCAACAAGGCAACGGTTGTGCAACATTTGTTTATTTAGTTTTTTATTTTTGTTTTATTTTCTCGTTAATTACAGTGCTACTAAAGTATTTCTTGTTTGTGTATGCGCATCTCAGGATTGACATTGACACTGTTTGATCCATAAATTAAAAGAACTGCATGTGCTATCACGAGAGCTATTAGAGAAGCAACTATAGTTCAAAGGATCTTAGTAGAAGACAATTCACTGATTTTTTTCAGACGCTGAAGAGGAAGTCATCATGGCAGCTACACAACCTCTACCCATTATGGGGGTCTACTACAAAAGAATTAACGAAGCACAGGTTTCTAAAGGGTTTGTATCGGTAGACCCCGCTAACTTTGACATTAAAAATTTTGTGCTTTCAGGTTTAAGAGACAATCCGTTTGACGAAAACGCAATTAGAGACCCATGAGAGCATCTTGCTTGCTTCTACGAAAGAACTTTTATGTGCAGGCCAGCTGAGGTCATTGAAGACAGAGCCAAGCTGAGATTGTATGGGTTCTCGTTGATTGGAATATCCAAAGATTGGTTACTTTTCCTTCCAAATGGAACTATACGAACATGGAAAGAGCTCGAAGACAACTTCTTAGAGAGATTTTTAACCATCACTCAGTTAGTTGAGCAAAAAAATGAAATTGCAAACTTTGAGCAGCAGGAAACAGAACCATTGTATGACTCGTGGGAAAGTTTTAAACTTTTATTACGTAGGTGGCCAAATCATAACATGAATAACATGGAGCAAATACAAAATTTTATCAAAGGTCTCAAGAGTCAAACACGCATGCTCCTATATGCTTCCGTGGGAGGCATGATCAAAACAATAATCAAACCACAAGTTAAAAATTTGATTGAAAAGATGCGCTTGAATGAATATCATTCAAAGAGAAAAAGGTTTGTAAAAATTGAAACGGTAGGCACACCAAAAGGTGTGTTTTAGCTATTGACAGTCATGCTGCAATTTTAGCCCAAATTAAATTACTGAATAAAAAGCTAGCTGAAAGCAGCTTGAGTAAAGCTAATGCGAGTCAAGTGCAAACACTTAGGTGTGATTTTTGCAGAGAGGCACGTGAAAATGAAAGGTGCTTTTTGGAAGTATTTAGTGAAGAAGATCAATTTGCTAATTTCCAGAAAAATAACCTTTATTCCAACACTTACAATCTCGGATGGAAGGATCACATAAATTTCAGATGGAGCAATAACCATAATACAAGTGTTAATCAAGGTATTCAGCACAATTAATAAGCCCCAATCCAAAGGAAACCTTCACCACTAAAAGAGATCCTACAAAAACTCATCTAAGCAATCTATAATAGTTTTGAATAGGTGAATAAACAACATGACACAATGAGTAAGAACCATGATGTATCTATAAAAAATTTAGAAATGCAAATTGGTCAGCTATCTCGGTAAATGGTCGCTTTACCTAGTTTTAGTGGAGGATTTACAGGTAGCATTGTGGATAATCCTAAAAATGAGACTTGCAAGGCTGTAGAAACAGGTTTTTAGGTAATCACCCACATAGGTGAGGATGAAATAGTCGAAGAAGACTTTATTGAAGAGGAAGAAGTAACAGCTGAGAAAGAGAAGAATGAAAATCAGAGTGACCAACCTGAGAAGGGAGTCACCATTGAATAATTAATATACAAAAACTCTCATTGGAGAAGGACTAAGAATCGGATCCTTAATGACCCTAATCCCGAACTTCCCAATTACATAAAACCGCCATATCTAATATATATTTATTGTGATTTAGGTAAGTATTTCTATGTAGGAAGTTTTAGAGCTAATGCCCAAGCTTTCTAAATTTATGAAGACATTGCTTAAGGGTACAAAGCACAAATTGGACAAAGAATAGGTAAACATGACTGAGAAATGTGATACGACAGTGCCCTAAACAATGCCACCAAAGTTGTAGGATCCAAGTAAGTTTATTATCTCTTGTACCATTGTGGAATAAATATCCTACATGCTCTATGTGATTTAAGGTCTATAATAAATTTTATGCCATTGAATAAAGCTAAAGAATTAAATTTAGGAGAGATCATACCGAGTAATATGACTCTCACTTTGGCTGATTTATATGTTACTCATCCTCATGGTATCTTACAAGATGTGTTAGTACATGTTGATGGTTTAGTTTTTCCTGCAGATTTTGTGGTGGTTGACATGAAGGGAGACACAGGAGTGTTAGTTATTCTCAGACGCCCACTCTTGGCAACTGAGAAGGCTTTAATAGATGTGGAAATCGATGAACTTAGCTTGAATTTCAACAAAGAGAAAGTGGTGTTTAATATGTATGAATGAACACCATATGTAAATAATATAGAGACATGCTACCAGCTTGAAGAAAAAGGTAGCGAAGTTTACAAAGAAAATAATGAAGGTGAATTAGCCGGCACGAGGGTATCCCTTGCGCCCGACGTGTCTTAGGCACATACCGTTAAGCTAATGACGGTAAAGAAGCACTAGATATGAGGCAACCCATCAGTAAACAAGTCTTTAAATTTTTCAGTTTAATTTTGGTTATTAAAACATGTATATTTTGTGTGTTGTGTTGTAAGAAAAGAAAGCAGGTGAAAGAGAAGAAGGAAAGAAAACAAAAGAGAAAAAAGAAGAATAAAATGATGAAGCCCCTGGAATAATCACACAGGCTATCGCACGCGTGATATGGCTAAATCGCGAATGTGATGTATGCATAACATGCACGATGTATTACCTCGATTTTTAAATTATTATTTTATTTAATTATTGTAATTTTATGTGTGTTAATTGTGTTATTTTAAGAGATTTAGGGGTATTTTAGTAATTTAATAATTACTAGAATTATAGTAGGATTATAGAGTTTGAGAACAGAAAAATAAAATAGAATTTATTTAAATTATTAGAGATAATTAGACAATTTTAATTATTTATTAATAATTTGAGAAAATAGAATTATTGGGAATAATTCACATTTTGAGTATTTTTACTAAATAATTATTTATTTAAATAAAATAAAGTGTCATATTTTATTTAGAAAATATATTTTTTGGAATAAAATATGAGGGTCAGATTCTTTGGGGTGTGAGGGTGTAAGCCCAATTGAGATTTGAGGCAAATTAGGTCAGTATATATTCTAAAAATAAGAGTCTGACTAGGTTAACCTGAAAAATTAGAAAAATTGGGAAGCGGCAGATGGTGGAAATGAAAATTGCACAAGGCTTTGGAAACCGATCATAGAAAAATAAGGAAAAGGAAAAGCTTCAATTTCGAGGTAAGGGGGAGACTTATCTGCTAATGGGTGATTTAAACATGCAGGATAGTGGGGGTTTCTTACCCTCCTATTAGAGCCTTGGGGTTTATATGATTTTTCTCTAATTTTCCCTTTTTCTTACTATCTGTGTGAATTGACCAAATAAAGTTTAAGAAAAACCTTATTGGTGTGATTGTTAAGAATATTTTAATATGTGATTGCTCTGAGACCCTAAAAGGGGATTTGGGATAAATTCCTTAAGGTCTCTATAAATGGTATTGTTTGTAGGTTTATAACCCTGTAGTGGTGATGATTTGATCGTATGAATTTGTTTTCTTATTTGGTTGTTGTTGTAGAGTTGGGATTTTCCCCCCAAGAATTTGAACAACCCTGTTTGCGTCATTTGGTTTCTCAATTTTGTAATGACCATAATTAATGGTCAATATGTGACCATAGTTAATGGTTATCTTATACATAACATAGGGTTTTGGCTATAAGGCTTTTGATAAGGTGAGAATAAAAACCTGTAACATTTGAATTCCTATTATCTATGATTAACCTTCTCTACTTTAGGGAGGTTTGGACTCAACTAAGCTAATTGGTCGAGTTTTGGATCTGTTTAATAAAGTGAGAAATGCAAAAAATCGCAATTAGTGATAGAAGGGGGGTTAACCGCCTTATTTCAAGCATAACTTAAGTTTTGTAAGTCGATTTGAGATGCCATCAGTTGTGTTGGAAAGCTAATGCGATAATATTCATTTTGAAGTAGAGAAATTGGGTTTAAGGATGCTAAAAGAGTATCAGTTTGCTAGTTTTTATATCAGATGCATAGTCAATTTCAGTCTTGCATTGGTCATCATGTTTCACGTATAACTTGAGTTCCGTAAGTCCTTTTAGGATGCCATTAGTTTCGTTAGAAAGAGTGATTAATTACCTTTCATAATGGAAATTTTCATAATTTTATCACGAGTATATAATTTTCGTGCTATTTTGAT